GTCCAAATATATTAATTAGAATCAAAGATTTCCCATTTCCCTTTCTGAAATTATGCCTAAATGTTAATTAAGGCTAAATTTTCAAAATTACACATTTGCCCTAAGGCACTATCACTTCATAATTCATCAAATTTAATCCAAATGACTTTGGAATTTTTATCCTACCTCACTCATGGGTCAATTGAGACATGAGAGGAGAAAGTGTGATTTTTGAAAATTTAATTTATCTATATTATTATTTTTAATGCAAAAATAGGACTTTTCAAAGAAAACTCCTAACTTGACCATGGTAAATCCTAATCCCTTGAAATTTTTACTGGAGGTAGGCTTAGACCAGAGAAGCCTTTGGACCAAATTTCATGATTTTTTTGAATTTTATTTGAATTTTATTTGAATTTTAAGAATTATTTTAAATTCTCAACTTCATGATTTTTTGAATTTTATTTGAATTATTAGAATTATTTTAAGTTATGGGGTTTTTATTAAAAATAAATATTTTAAATGGGTAAAAATAAGTTTTGTATGTTTGTCGAGAAGCAAATTTTATGTTTTTCTGGTTTTTATTTGAATTATTGAAATTATTTTAGTGAAAATCCATTTTTAGCCTTTAAAAATTATTTTAAGCTTGAAAATTCAATATCTTTATTTAGAAAATCAAGAAAAATACTCTAATTATTTTTAAGTGTTTATAAAACAATTTAAAACATTTTCATATATTTTATTATTTTTGTAATTTTTATCATTTTTTAATTATTTTAAATATTTAAAATAGGTTAAAAATGAAGTTTTTATTTTTACTTCAAATTTATTTTTATAAAATTCCTCTGATCACAGAGAACTCCAAAAATTTTTCAAGTTATATTTTAATTATTAAAAAATCATTTTAGTGCCAAAAATGTTAATTAACTTGAAAAATTAATTTGAGATATTAAATGAGCTTCAAATGTTTTGAAATTTTTATGGGGAGTTATCTGGAGTTTATATTTTGGTCGAGATTAAAAATTAAGACATTTAGATGTTTATGCTACCCAAAATTAATTTATTTTGTGTTTTAGGGTTGGTGAAGATTAAGTGCATTCTTAATGACTTAACTCACGAAATTATTTCCAAGGGGTCCTCTGGTCATAGTGAACCTTCTAAAATTTTCTTAGAATTTTCTAAACAACATACTAATTATCATGATTAATTTATACAAATAATAGACATAAACTTGAAAAATATGGATCTCTATCTAGGGACCTCCTCTGACTTTGGAAAAATTAGAGGATGTTCCCTAAGATAGATGCAACAACATGCTAAAATTTCAAGCCATGGTGATATTACTACATGCATGGAGAATCAAAACATTCAAATCAGTGTTTAATTAATTAAAAATAAAATATGCATCAAATGGACTCCAAGCCTGATTTCAGGTGTTGGTCTAGAGTTATGCTAGGGGCTCTGTGGAAGGGGAATTTGATGGGGCTTTTCCTTATCTCACTCTGGTGAAGGTGTGGGTGAGTTTAATTTGATTTTTGTGGATTGTAGGAGTGTAATGAGCTCTGTCCTAGTTTTAGGCAGAGATTCAAGCTCAAAATTGGGCTCCGACAAGGGGATTTAAGGCAATGTGGTGGTTGGATTGCACTGAGGAGGTCTCAAAGAGGCTTTGGGATCAATTTGGGGAAGCCTCTCAGAGGAAATTTCAGCACAAATCCCATGGTCGTGGAGGTGAGTTTTTATAAAAATGGCAAAGGGGTGGCTCTCAGGGCCAATGTTTGGGTGTATTGTGATGCTTAGGTGGAGGGCAGAGGAGCTCTATCATTTGATTTAAGTGAGGTGGCCTCTGGGTTTGATTTGAGTGAAGTTCAAGAGGAGGTGTCCCTCAGTTTTGGCTTCTCTGGTGACTAGGCCGGTTGGACATGGCACGGGGAGGTGGCTAGGAGCTTAGGGAACCCAGGGGAATATGTCACATCAATTTATTGCAATGAGGTATTGTTTTGACAAAGATATCTTAAGCCTAAGAAAAAATGGAAATTAAATCCCTTAATTTGAGGGACCCTTGATCCATGGCTCATCTAGCTTGGGTTAGATGGTTTTTGACTCAGTCTTAGGGTCCAACTAAAGGTTGTGGTGGAGTTAATTTGATGGCTTTGGGGTGGTTAGACTACATTTAGTGCATGTGTCCAAGTGGGAGCAAATGACCAAAACTTGGGTTGGGCTAGGCTAGTCATGTCAACTGGCCTAATTAATTGTTGCATTTTGTGTAGGTGATTGTAAGGAACAATTTTGGTGAAGGATGGAAAGAGTTTTGAGTAAAATTCGAGGGTCAATTTGAAGGATTTTGGAGATTTGGTCAATTTGGGCATGTTGGGCTAGACTTGGGTCTATATTGGGTTAGCCTTGGGCTAAGTCCAAATTGATTGTTGAAAATGGTCAATAAGAATTCCATGAAGAGTTTTCAACATGAATTGGGTGCCAAATTTGGTGGCCTCTGGGTTTGATTTGAGTGAAGTTCAAGAGGAGGTGTCCCTCAGTTTTGGCTTCTCTGGTGACTAGGCCGGGTGGGCATGGTTGGACATGGCACGGGGAGGTGGCTAGGAGCTTAGGGAACCCAGGGGAATATGTCACATCAATTTATTGCAATGAGGTATTGTTTTG